GTCTTCAGTTACTTCTATAGTTCTGCATCCTTTCAATTTTTTTTCAACAGTGTTTTGAAAATATTTAAGGTTATAATTTTTATTCTAGTTTAATTATAATGAAATTTTTAGAACTTTGTTACTGATCTCTTTGAAGCCATAAAGAAAAGCAGAATAAAGCCAGACTCCTATTCCCTACTTTCTTTATGTCCTTTTCCTTTTCTTCCTATGGCACCATTTTCCCTTTCTTGCTATAGCATCACGTGGACAATCCTGCTGAGTTGCTGGTTTGTTACAATGTCAAATTCTTTACAGATTCATTGCTTCTGGTGTTTTCTTCATTCAATTTTCTCCATTGTTGCCTGCTGTATTTCTTCCACTTGCATATGCAGATGTGTATTTGATTGACCAGGACCACATTTTCTTTCAGTGGGATCACTGCTCTAAAAAATATTCTTTTTAGTCAGTTTTATTTTTCATTAGTCCCAAATGACTGATGGAAATGCTGAGTAGTACAAGACTGAAAGAGCCTCTCTTTCTGATGCTGAGCCTTTAGTAATTATTTTCTCATGCATGTTCGTTAGCCAATTCTTAATCCAGTTAAAACATGCTTTATTGATATTGTGTAGCACTGTATTTTTAATTAGAATATTGAATGATACTAAGTCAAAAGGCACACAAAAGTTGAAGAGTATTATACCTACATCGTTACCTTTGGCAACCTAACTTAAAATCTCATCAAAGAACAGAAGTAGATTTGTTTGATAAGGCTTATTTTGCACAGAACTGTGTTGACTAACATTAATTACATTCCTATCTTTTAATAATTTATTAATTGAATCTCTTTTCAGTTTTCCTATTATTTCTCCCAGGACTGATGTTGGGCTATGCAGCCTGGGAGTACAAGCATTATCTGCTTGCCCTTAGTGTAATACTGAAACAAGATGTAGCACTGCTACTTACTGGACTATCATTGACATTATTCATGCCTCCTTTAGGTCTCCCCAAATATCCCCTCTTTGTTACTTTTGGCATACTAGGCATTTTTTTACTAATGGAAAAAAAAAATCTCATCAGCAAATGTGGAAGTAAAATAGCTTATGTAAATAAATTACTGAAGGCCTAGTTATGCCATTGTGCAATATATTAGAAATGAAAGTAAACTCAGTGTGGATGTGGGAAAAGATATTACACAATTCTACCACAGTTTTACAACACGATGGTGTGTGCTCAAATTAGAAAGAGCGATTGAAGAAGTTTGAATATGCATCTGCAATTCTGAAAGGCTGTTGTGTTCTTGTTCGCAGAACTGGCTGGTCAGTGAGAAACAAAATAGAAATAAGTACAATCATTTACAAAGTGTTCATTTCTCTTCCAGCTTTGTTCTGGTGGAATTACAATATTTGAGTTTGGACTGGGCTCTTTTTTTCCCCTGCATGCTTGATGTTTCTGTAGTTTCATTGTGATTAAGAAAGCTAGGTAATAGACAAAAACAATACCTAGGAGAGAGTTGAAATTTATTTACTGTTGAACTTGATTCTATCCTTCACTCTCAAATAATAGGAAATTAGCATTTAATTCGCATTTAAAGTACATGGCCACTGTTGCTGCAAGAGAATGCCTGGGAGGAGAACCAGCCCTTGACATGTGTGAATTCATCACCTTGTTATGCCTTGCACACACAACAGCCAAAAGAGCCTATGTAACTTCAGAAGCACTGGGCAGGACAGGTCAGACCACTGACTATACTGAGAGTTTCTGTGTGCCAGCAGGGAAATGTTAAGTCCTGGGCTGTGTCTGAGGTTTGTTTGAGTCAGGAACTGGATTGTCAGGTGGTCACTGGGTGCCTATTTCTGCTAGAGATATCCAGATATTGCACGTCAGCAAGCAACTTCATCTATTGACCAAGGAGATAGGAAGGCAGAGAGACATTTGATAAAAAGTGGTCTGCTGAGAGCTAGTAGATATGCTTTATCAAATCACACTGCTAATTTATGTCAGAGAATACAGATTCCACAAAGCTGCTCCTTCTTGGATGCCCTATCCTGAAAGCCATCTCAGGGTCTTCCTTTAAAGGTATTCTGCTATAAACAAATAATTAATAGTCATTGACCCAGAGAGAAGCTAAAAAAGGAAGATAACCCTATGTTGAGACTGCTGTGGCAGTAAAGAGTGTGTCAGCATCAACACTGCGGGTCCCTCGTCCAAAGAAACTTTAATGATTTTATGAGACTAGACTAGAGACTAGACACCTTCAGAGACTCATACCTTAAAATTTAGAATGCTATCACAGATTATGGGAACTCCTCAAAAGACAAGAAATTAGAATACTAGTCTCTCAGCACTCCTATAGAATACTGTGTTGAGACTAATGAGCAAAATAAGGATGCTTCAACTCTGAAAAATCTTTTATATTTCTTTTATTTTTTTTTTGTAGAAGGGTATTTTCTTGTGGAACTAAAACATATGTATGATTAGAGTTTCTAAGGAGCTAACTGCATGTTGATCAGGGCTGTTTTGGGATTATTTATGTGTGGGAGTGAGTTTTCAGTTCTTTTGTCTTTTGCATTTATTTCATTGAACCCTTAACCTGATACCTTTTTTTTTCTCAGACTTAGCAATGATTATTCAGAGTTTCAATATTTAGACTACAAATTCAAACTTCCCTGGCTATTTCTAGACTTATTTTGCTTCGTCAGATGCTCAGACCCATGTCCACACAAGTTTTGAAAATCTCTAAGGATGAAGATTCCACAACCTCTGGGAAACCTGAGCTGGGTTGTTTTTTTTTACGCTATTACAAATAAGCTCAAAATCAAGTCAATGCTTAATGTTTGTAATTATGGTAATAGTTATTTTAAAGAGTTTATTTAATCTAAAATTTTTAGAATACTTATACTGAAACTTATCCTAGTACTATTGAGAGAAGTCATCCATCATCCCAGAAGAGAATGAACTGATCTAACTTGGTGTTGGACACCGGACTATTGTGTTTCCTTAAATTATTGAGTTTCTGCTCCTATTTCACACATGTGCCATGGACAGTTTTAACAGTAATTTCTAATTTTTCAGGGCTTGACTTGAAATCTTAGGAATCCTTTAGCATAGCATGACTTTTTTCCCCTCATTCAGGATACATTAGTAGTACAATTACAAAACAGGATTCCAATTCTGCTTTGTCTTTACATAGCAGTTTGACATTCAGAAGTGTTTTATTTCTTGTTAGCTTTGACTTGTAGGACTTATTTAGTTATGTAAAGATGATCAGGGATTGCAACTTTAGGTGCTTTCTGGGCATATATCCATTTTTAACCTCAGTGGTTCTGCTTTGTGATTACTGCAACTGGCACAGTAAAGGAGATGGAGAGGTTTGCAACAAACCTTTAAATTCTTTTCCTGTTTGTGGAAGTTCAGGACTGGACAGACAAGAAAAAAGTACTGAAAGGATATCACACAAAATAAACCTTTCTGATAAACTTGATTTTTTACTTAGTCAGCAGTTAGCTGACAGTCTTTCACAGATCCTACCCCTGAGCAGTGGCATGGTCCTGTGGTAGTATACTAGGAAATTGAGCTGCATGAAGGTTTTGGTCTGCTACTAGCAATTATATTACACACTTTCTAAAAGTAACACAAAGATCTGCATTAAGACAAGAAATATCATGGTTTAAGTCAATCCCAAATACACGTGTAGTTTAGGTTGCATACATTACTAACATAAACCAGGAGAAAATATAAACAGCATATTTACAATATTATATCAATATTTTAATGAAATATTATTTAATAACTTTAAGGCTTACTTCAAAATAATTAAGACTATGTTCATTACTGCATGGCTTAATCTTTCTTACACGACTAGCAAATTAAAGAAACATAGTTAAACTAACTCTAGACATGCCTCCATAACATGATTAAAAATAACACATATATTGCAATATTGTGCAAAAATATAGCTAATTTAAATGCAAACCCCTTCTATGGACTATTTATATCTGCTTATGTTAGGAGAATTAAAAAGAAGTTTGTTTAAATGACTGATTTTTTTTCCAGAAAAAACGGTGCAAAGCAAGCCTTGTTATTATTTAACAAATATTAATCACGCTTACACAGAGGCCGCTTGAGAAAAATTTATTACAAGAGATCTGTGACCAGTCATGCCATAGGAGGAGGAGAGAGCCACAGGGCTGAAATGACAGTAAGGTTTGTGTATGCAGTGCTCCTCTGGTAGTTAAATTGCAGGAATGTGACATTGATCTGAAACGGGAGCTGTTTGAAGTAGCAACTGTCAATCTCTGTAATCAAGGGATGACCCAAAGTCTTGCCCAATTAGCCATTTTGGCATGACCACTCAGTTTATAAGGTCCTACCAACTCAAAAAGTGATCTGTCCTCAAGAGGCACTTCGAGAAGACTGCACAGTTTGAGAATAGTAAACCGTCATCCAGGACTATAGCTTAGGCTCTTTATTTTGTTTGTTGTTTTGTTTTGTTTTGGTTTGGTTTTTTTCCGCAAAAGTACAGCAATGCCTCATTTAACTGACTCTACTTACTACAAGGTGAGCCAAATGTGGATTTAGGTATGAGTGAATGTCTGCTGCTGTTGATATTACTTGAAGATGGTAAAATCACGTTTTTCTTTATACATGTATTTACTTTCTCAAGTACAAAGAGTTAATACACTCTGATATTTATTTTAGAGTACATATGTTCTTGTAGATTTGATTTTAAAGATCAATGATTTCAACAGAGACATGAGAAGAGAGAAATGTGTAGCACACTTCTGGCCTCTTCTCAAAATCATGTTTCTCTTTTCTAATTCTATTTTTCTTTGATAATTATTCAGAAAGCTCATTCAGCTGAGTTAGGGGAAAATAGTACACGAGTAAGAACTATGCAAAGGTGTAAAACTGAAGTTTTATTAAAGCTGATCCTATTGTTCTGAAGCTTTTTAAGTGAACATAAGGGCAAATACCGGTAGCAGTCACTTGAAGCTTTAGCAATTATTTCCATTTCTTCCTAGGTACAAACACACTTGGAAAATCAGTCTAGGTACCACATACAGCAAAGCCAGAGGCACCAGGTGAAGCAGTACCTGACCCTTGATACCAAGCTGTCCAGCCAGACGCTCTCCCTGTCCCACTCCCACACGATCCAGCCTGCAGGAGTGACTTCCATTTTAAGGAACGGACACATGCCTCCTGTCAGCGACCTCGGCACACCAGAAAGCCCTGTTACCAAGCTGCTGGCCCTCGGAGGCGAACACGAAAATGCGGTAGGGAGGGGCTGGTGAAAGGAATGGGGAAATAGGCTTTGCGTACTTCTGCCAAAATGTTACATGACCCACCTTGTGTTAGTACTGGGCGAGAGATGCCTTTCTCCTCTTTCATGGGATCCTTGGTTCTAGAACTTGCTCCCTGAATCCTTCTGGATTACATGGGTGATTCTCTTGAATGCCTGTGAGTAGCTTATTGCATGATCAGGCTTCTAAACTACTGCCAGTTAAAATGTATTGTTACATCTTTTTATCTGTGCGTCATATACTGCTGCACATCTTTTGAATATGTGCTTTGCAATGCAAAATTGTTGGGTTTTTTTAGATGAGAGTTATTTTTGCCTAAAAGTATTATCCTAGATGCATAACAATGTTAAGTGCTGATTGCCTTAAAGATGTAGCTGAAAGACTTGCTCATTCATTTTTCAGTTAGCTGATATATTTATATATGGGTTATCTTGGGTAAATTGGCGTAGGTATGCTAACTTTAGTGCCACCATCGATTTTAATAAAGGTACAGCTATTATACAGTGTCAGATTCTCAGTCAATGTGAGATGTAGATCATTACAGCCTTTAATACTTCAATAGCTTTCAAAAGAGACTGCTTATTAGGTAAAAGGGGAATTCCTATAGAAATGAGAAATGGAGATGCTGTGTCATATCTTTGGTTTTAACAGAACACACTGTGTTGCCAACACAGTGTGACCCTTTTCAGCATCTGGAGTTATGCAGCTAAGTGTGAAAAAAAACCAACCTGATAGTTACTGGCGAGCTTATCTGGGCCCCGCTATTCCTTCGGCATTGACAGCCAAAATTTTATGTCAGGTTTGTGGATTACTGGAGCCACTAGTCTGCAAAGACTATTTTAGATGGCCATTGTGGAGGCCTCTGTGGTCACCTCTGTGCTGTCAAGTGCAGCATAGTAGAATTGTTCTTGGGCTCTTTGGGTATCTGATCAGGAATAACCAGTATCCATCCTTGTAGCACTCTTTGTCCTGGAGAGCAAGACTACTATTTGCACACTGCTCTCTTGAGCTGTGCCTGGTGATGATTGGGAGAGCAAGAGTTGGCACTGGTCAAAATCTTGGCAAGCATATTTCCAGTGATTTGAATAACCCCATCCCAGAGCCTCAGGGAGATGACTGGCACATTGTAGTTTCCCAATACGGGAGTGCCATGTGCTTCAGTCTATGGTGTAGTTATAGCTATAGAATCATAAATCATAGAACAGTTTTGGTTGGATTAGAGCTTCAAGATCATCAAGTCTAACCTTCATCCTAGCCCTATCAACATCCTAAACCATGTCCTTCAGCACAATATCTATTCATCTCTTAAACACCTCCAGGGATGGCTACTCCACCACTGGCCTGGGCAACCTGACAAGTTAATAATACAGAGTCAACACACAGGCTGGTGCAATGAACTATAATCGTGCATTTTGCCTAATTGCTGGCATTTCTGGACATCCTTTTTGGCCCTGACAGCAGTTTTCTGGATAAGTCTGAACATAACTTCTGGGACAGAATATGCCTGTTTTTTAGAGAAAGAGGAGTGTGTGTGTGAGTGTTGCTGGGCCATGTGGCTTAAAATTCTGTGTTGAAAAGTCCTTAGTTTGTATATTTTCTTTCATTATGTAGGACCTTCTACATTTCCTTCAGCTACAGCTCTTCAGACAGCTCTCAAGAGCTGCTTGAAAAGCCTCACAGCATGAGTCAACTGCTTCTGCAGATGATAGCACAGTGAGAGGTTCATCACTGGATCTTTCCCAAAGTTATTTGACGTATGGAACCAGACCAAAATTATCACTGAAAACTCATGCTGTACCTTGTCCAAATCTATGTACGTGTCTATGTCTGCAAAGTATTCACCATTTCATTCCAAGTAATTGATTAGCTATTCCATCTTCTTCAGTAGGTTTTGATTCAGATTAGAACAAAACTGGGACCAGAAGGCTGTCTGAACAAGGATCCAGTGTACCACCAACATGACACAAACCTCTGCCCATTGAATCTGTAGAGCAGTGTGTAACACCAAATCTTGGGTGACTCATGCTCTTGCAGAACCACAGGTTCCTTTTCAGCCTTCCTGCACCATGCAGCAACACACTGTGGATATAACACATTTGATGAAGGTGACAGATTACAGTAACAACTTAGCAATGCACTCCTGTCATCTTGGTGTTGCAATAAGGGGATAGAAAAAGGGAAAAAGCTGGTGTTTGGATGGAAAGAAGTAACTTTCTAAACCACAAAAACTGTTCTCATGACAAACAAAAACTTTAAACATTGAGTAAAAGTGTTTGAATTTGAATTTTAAAATATAAACTTCTGAAATTCTGTTTTATTGATGTAGTAAATACTCAAGATTAATTCCTCTGTATTTTCAGAATAGCATTGTTTCCATTACTATTTTTAATGTTTGGTCTTAAAATTATGTTTTATCAGATGGAGGAAGTAATTGAAGACATAATCAATATGGAATCAAGTTTTAATGATGAAGGCATAGGTTGTTCTGAAACTCCTCTTCTAATGCAAAGAACTGTAAGTATTTTGTGGAATTCCGTCTTGCTTTTTGTAATAGTGAATTTTGTTGCATAAATCAAGCACATGTCACACTTCAGAGGCTAAAGCAATACTCTCAGTGGACTATTCTTTCTCTTCGGTTCCTTGTCTTGCCAAGAATTTTTACAGGAAAGGGTTCCAGCGTGGTGGGGCAGAGTTGTTTTAAGTGGTCTGAATAGCATTTGGGGTTCTATCTCAGTACCAGATCTGATGCATAACCCATTGGAGGTACGAGTTCTTATGTAGGACTATGGATAAGAAGAGTCTCAAGACCCTAGAAGGCCTTTTAAAATCTTGCTTAAAGATCTATCTACCTCATCTAAAAAAGTCAAAGCTTCTCCATGTAAGTTTCTACAGTATGGTAGTTTCTCCAGTGTCCTATGCTGAAGCAGGGATGGGCTCTATTTGTTGACTTTCACAAAGGCAAGTTGCTCTTGGCTGAATAATTTCAAGGATAGAGATGAGGAATGTTAACTTTTCAGTTTAAAAGCTTTATAGAATCATAGAATGGCTTAGGTTGGAAGGGACTTTAGAGATCATCTAATCCAACCTCCCTGCCATGGGCAGGGACGCCTTTAAATGGACCAGGTTGCTCAAGGCCTCATCCAACCTGGCCTTGAATATCTCCACGGAGGGGGCATCTACAAGGAATAAACATAAAAAACCGCTATAATTTTTAATGTCTTATTGTAAAGAAATGACAGAGGATTAACAGAGGCTACTTACATTTCCATATATGTTACATATTTGAAGAGGAAGGATAGACCTTTTCTGAGCAGAATAATGAATAGAGCATTATTAATTGTGAACATAACACCTGTAACTAACTGTAAGGCAACATACCTTCTAAAAGGAATGTTCTTTGTCCTCTTAATCCTAATTTATTTCGGGTACTGTTTTCCACAGATTTTATCCTCAGGGCCTTCAGATAGGTATTGATAAAGGGAGACTTCACTCTGGGGAATGAAGAAGGATTTTCACAGGCTTTGACAGTCTACAAAGTTCACTTCAGAATACAGAGTCAGGTGCTTACTCTTAATTACCCACTGGAGGAACATCTACTGCCTACAAAAAAACCTCAGGAAATAAGATCTCTATGTCTCTATGTTCGTCACTACACAGTCCTGTATTAATGGCAATTAATTGCTCCGTGAATACCTGCCAGATGCAGAACTAATACTGATTATATGTATCTCAGTACCAAACATTGCAAAGAAATAGTCTCTAGGGAGTGAATTAATATTTTGGCTCGAATTAACATGAGACAGAGGAGGATCCTTTCAGGTATGATACTGTGGGATGATGATGAGAGGCATCATTTCTGGGTTTTGGATTGGACTCACACTCCCTCAGCACATTTTAAAACTGGCTGATGTTAATCTATGTTAATTCCAGTCTCATTAGCCTTTATCTTCAGCCATGAAGGACATATTTCTCTAAAATGGATTGAATACCCTACACTTGACAATCAAGGAATTATGCAATGACTTTTAGGTCTAGCTGGTATCTTACCTGCAAAGATTAGAGATTTCTGCAATGCCTGTGGGCTGGATAATAGTATTTAGATTTTTGTTTGTGCTGAGAAAATCACTAAGCTGCTAGGTAAGTCAGCGAATGGTGGGTATTTCTCTCTGGGCAATACTATGGCAAAACAAAGCCTGCCTTCAAAAAGATACATGAACTACACAAGTATGGAAGCCTTCAAGCAGTGTCTCGGTCTCTTCTGTCTTTTCTTTTGCTGAAGTGTACTCCAAAAACATATGAAAGAAATGAGCATATGGAAGTGATTTCAGGCATTTAGCTCACGACTCACACTTATGACATCTTTCAGGCAACATCTTAAATGTGCTTGCAAAATTTTGGTCATAAGGTGTGCAATGCAGAAGATAAAGGCAGGAAGAAAATCAGTTTTTAAATCTATTTTTTTTCCTTATTATATTAAATATAATTACATTTTCTTTATCTGAGTTAAAATATTACAATAGTGTTGGACTAGGAGACGTGGTCAGGAATGAAAGAATACCTGATTCCTCTGAAAATGGAACTGAGTTAGTGCCGTACTTAAACAAAGACTCATACTACTCCTTACGCCCTTCTGCAAAAGGTGCCTTGTCATGGTGACTGCCATCAACATAGAGTAAGTGAGGTCACAAGTGAGACAGATTTGTATCAGGTCACCAGATGATTTGGTGTTTGTTTTCTCTTTGAAATAAATTGTATGTAATGCTTAAGTAGTGCTTAAGTATTTTGTGACTTCTTTTTAGGTTTCTTGCTCCTTAGAATTGTTCTGAATTTGCCCAAATTGTCCAGAGTAGCGTCCCTAAAATTCTGAAAAAAATCTGACTCTCTTGCTTTTCAGAATGTGTTATAAAGCTTGGGTGCTTTTTCGGAAAAATCTTTTACTGAAGGAGCCAAGTTCATGAAACCATTTTCTTTCCTCGTTTTTCTCCATATATAGTGGCTGAGATTAGGGACTTTGCAGTGCTACCTGTTGTGTGTTGCGGTGAATTAATGTTTGCTTTAGTTAGATGCACCCATGTACCACTTTAATGGCACATTAAATGAGGACATCATTGAATTCTGTGAGACCACTCATGTGAATAATTGCTCAGAGGCTCATTGTCTGACCCTGAATTAATGAATTACAGTCATGTATTAGTAGAATCAGAGAAGTGAAAACAAGAACATTCCTTCATCACTCATTAAAATAATTACAGCTTCTGAAGGGTAGATTGTCTGTTTTTATTGTGTTTGGACTCAAATTCATAACATCATAAAACTCTCTGGTTTTGGATGGCAACTTCAAAATTGTCTAAAGTGGGGAATTCTCTGTCTGCATGTCCACTGCTTTTAACAGTACTTTAGCGGTAGAAGCCTACTTTTTATAACTACTTTTCAGAAGTTCAGTTAAAATATAAGACTAGATATTACCTATACAAAAGAGGTCTGGATACTTCTGAAATTATTTGTAATTCCAGTTATATCTTCATCCAGAAAACATAGATAAAGTCAAATCTTAACTGTGCTTATGAATTTGACAACTGTTTGTTCACTGTGGAGAAGGTAAGATTTACCAAAATAAAAACCTCCTTGCAGATGACACCAATTTAAAGTAATTTTTCCCTGTAAATTTATAAAACTATTTATAACAGACGGCAATGTATTTACCTATACTTTAAGAAATTAATTTAGTCTCTAAGTATCATATCAGGAACATCAGGTTTCTTCCTGACCCTATAAGAACTGTTAGAGAATTAAAAGTAAGAATGTATGAGTGAGTTTTAGAAGGAAACTGTTATGTATGCGAGATATGATGTCAAACCTTTGAAAAGTAAACAATTTTCATTTCTGTCAGACTTTAGTTCTTATTCAAAAATCTCACAATCTTTACAACATCTTGTGGTGAGTATTAGTCACAGTGAAGAGAACCAGAAAAGAAGAGTTGTAAAATAGGATCTCTGTGCTTTGCAGGGTGTGATTTGACCGTATGTGACCTAGTGGACCTCTACTTGCTACTAAATGTTGTTTTGTTTTGCTAATATGAGTGTACAGCCCTAGGACTCACCAGAAAACCCAGCAATGTAGCAAGCACAATAGTGATCTCTATGAAAACATTCGGCATTTTACTAGCGCTTTCATTCAGAAATAGCTGCTGTAGCCCAGATAATCACTGTACAGCTACTGGAATAATGTCCTCTTACTTGACATGCAGTCCACTAAAACTTACATCAAAAACATTATGGGATTGACTAGCTTTGAACGAGAATAAAACGAGGACATTAACATTCTGCAAGGACATAGGCTTCTCTTGAACCATACTGGGTGGGACTGACCAAAAAATAATTTAATTTTGTGAATAATTCTAAGGATTCTAAGTTGTCTTCTGTTCCGTTGCACAAGAAACAAGAACTTTCACAATTATTCTTGAGGGAGCCTGAGGAGAGAGGCTCTGTAGCAATTAAGTGGATGGTGATCAGAGCTAAGGAGTAGTGCAGAATAGTGCTTGGGGCAGAGCATCACCATAAAACTGGATGTCAAAAAATCACTGGTGTTGGTCTAACTGGTGATATGTTGAATCAGTTGGACTCACTGTTGCTAAAGTAGTAGATATTGCATGATTAAACAAAATGGCGTAATTCCTTTCAGATTTCTTGGGAGAAAGAAAGAGATCCAAGAGACCTGCATGGTTAACCAGGGATCTGCTGGGCAGACTCAGGTGGAAGGGGAGAGTATATAAATTGGGGAAGGAAAGGCTGGCCACTTGGGTTAAGTATAGGACTGCTGTCAGAGAATGTAGGGAGGCAATTAGAAAAGCTAACACCTCCTTGAAATTAAAACTTGCGAGGGAGGTCAAGGACAACAGAAAGGGCTTCTTCAGATACATTGCCGACAAAACTAACACTAGAGGCAATGTAGGCCCTCTGGTGAATGAGGTGGGTGCCCTGGAGGCAGAGGAAAGAAAGAAGGCAGAGTTACTGAATGCCTTCTTTGCCTCTGTCTACACTGTTGGAGACTGTCCTCAGGTGCCTCAGTCCCCTGAGGCCCCAGGGGAAGGCAAGATAAAGGAGGAGTTTGCCCTGGTTGAGGAGGACTGGGTTAGGGATCAGTTTGAACACTTGAACATCCATAAATCCATGGGCCCTGATGGGATGCACCCGCGGGTGCTGAGGAAGCTGGCAGGAGTCAGTTCTTGAGGTGCCATAACTTTTGCCTGAGGTGCCTGAAGACTAGAGGAAAGTGAATGTCACTCCAGTCTATAAGAAGGGCAGGAAGGATGACCCGGGTAACTACAGACCAGTCAGCCTCACCTCCATCCCTGGAAAAGTGATGGAACGTCTTATCCTTGGCACTGTCTCTAGGCATATCAAGCATAAGAAGGTTATTAGGAGCAGTCACCATGGCTTTGCTAAGCGGAAGTCATGTCTGACCAACCTGATAGCCTTTTATGAAGATATAACCAGGTGGATGGATGGTGGCCA